TTTCCATTGGAATAGTTTTTAAAAGAAAATTAGTCTGGACCTTAACTTTTGTAAAAGGCTGTTACTGCAAAGCCAAGTTTAAAGTCTACTTCCAAAGTATAAAACATTGAAATCAAGAGTGGGAAATATTTCTGAAGTTAGTTGCTTTGATACAAGCTGTTAAGTTGTGTGAGGAATAGACGAAGGATGCGTTTTTAACGTCGGCAAATGCCACCTGTTTTCCCCTTACAAACAGCACTTGGTTTGCTTACAGTCATTAGAAAGCAAGCAAAGAAAAGAAGCTGTGGGTCTACGGAGAAGTTAAATAAAGGTGGTGCAGAGATGATCTGAATGATAGGGAGTAAATCCCATGACCTTATTTTCATTGACATTCAAACGTCTCAGAGAAATGAACACACGCCATACAACCTCAGTTAAAACAGGCTTTATTTATCTCTGCTGAAAGCTCAGAAGAGGGGTGCTGGTTTGGGGCAGTGGTTTTAGAGGAACCTGTGCCAACACAGGAACTCTGTCTGAGATCTGTGTGCAATAAAGCAAAAACTAAAGGAAATCAGAAAGGGTGTATAAGAGCCTCTGGAGTTTCTAGTAGCCTTTTATTACAGGAATATCCAAGAAGTGTTGATAGAATATCATAACTTGCTATGCTGTTTTGCCTGTAGCAGTGTGCATTGTCAAACAGTAATGCAGACCCTATTGTGCAAAGTGCAGAAGCCAGTTCCTAAATCCGTGCAATCAAAGAATTAAAAGCACTTTATTACTTCCAGGCTTAAATGTTCAGCATGTTGTATGATCAAGTCCAAAAACAGACGTTCAGTATTATTCAACTTCAGTATTGTTCTTGTATCTTGTTGTTCAAGGCTATATGCAAGTGAGGTGACCCTATTATGAAAGCCACGAAGAGCTCAGGTAAAGAGCGTGAGGTTTGTAGGGTTAAAACCATAGGCAGAATTTCTTTGGATTTCGGCCCAGATTTTTGCTAAAAATGGCTGATGCATGTACTGGCAAAACTTTATTCCCAGCCTACAAGAATGCCAGTACTGATGATAGTTCAGTCATGCATCTTGTAGAAATAAAACAGTCTTTAGTCAGTAGAATGTAATTTTCCTCATTTTTTTTTTCCTACTAGTGAGTATAAATTAAGCTTATAAAACATGCTGCTTCTTATTTTCCATTTGTATTTCAGAAGTCAATATATCATTCACTAAGGAAGTGATATATCACTTCACCAGGAAGTCTTCTGTGAATTGGGTAATTTGGTTGGCGAGATGCTTAGCTTTGCAATGGATGGCTTCTGGGTTTTTTGGGAACTTAGGAACGGATGGCCCACCTTCTCTCATTTAACCTTTGAAAGCTCAAGTTAACTTTGACAGAATCATGTGAGCACAGCTGTTGGTTGAGGGCAAGCTTTTTTTTCACTCTGTATCTCACCAGTTTTGCTCTTTTCAGGCTTGTAATTAGTTCAGTTGCAAGGTCTTTTTTTGCTGAAGACCTTTGGCAGCTTTTTTCCTCAGGTCTTAGGCAGGAGGTCAATTTACTCTGCAGAATGCAATCATAGAAAGAAGTTTTGATGACAGTTACATAAGAAACTTGAATGTTGAGCAGCATTATCTTTCTGCCAAGAATATTTAAATATGAATATATTGGTTTCAAACAGTAGAATTGCCCAGGTTTCTTACATTCAATGAAGCATTTATTGACTTCTACTTGATGGATGTTCAAATGTTCAAAACTGGGCAGTTTTGGTTAGATCAATAAAAAATTTCCTAAGGCAAGACTAAAATTGAGTTTAAGGACTAAAATTAATATCCCGAAGACCCTGATTAAACTGCCAGCTAACTCTGGGAGCATGTAAACTCTGTGAAGCCAGCTGTTTGTGACCTTCCCATTCCTGGAGTACCCAGAAATCTACACCTAAGGCATATGAGTAGGCTGCGATGGTTGATGGCCAGCCCATGTTCTTCGAACAGTGGTGATGGTAGCAGTGGTTGTAACTGCCATTACACTACAAAGGACTTAAGACATTTTTAGGGGGCCAAAAATATAAGAGGAAGCATGACACATTAGCCACGTAGTTTCATGAAGTAGTCATTCGGTAAAACACAGAAGCAGTCTTGGGAGTAGGGTCTAGCTTGGGGAGTTCCTCCTTCCCTCAGTTACAACACTGTGGTCCTTCTTGTGCTCCCTGGTTTGGTGGTTGGGCTCCAACTGATTTGGTAGTCCTCACTGCATGGTGGGGCAGTTCCAGTAGGAGAGGTGGAAGATGCTCCTCTGGTGTGCAGGATGCATTGAGAGGTTGGCTGGAGACCTCTCTAATAGATCAGGAAGTTACACCGGGATCTCCCAGATCCCGAACGAATCTCTGACCATGAGATACTTGTACCTCCATCTTCCCTGGCCATGATTTAAAAAGAAAGATGGCCCTGCTCAATTCTTTGGCAGAAAGGATGTGCCTTTACATGTGGAATTGGCTGCAGATGTGGGTCTTGAGTGATAGTCCCCAAAATCAGGATTGAAGCTGGAAGGAAGTAAAATTTGTCCCTCCTTTCAGCATTTTTTTTAGGAACCAGATTAAAGTTGCTGTGTTCTGTCAGCCCTAACTTGCAGGGCTTCCTGCTCAGCTTTCCAGCTGTTTTGTATCTCCAATGTGAGGCATTTTTTCCTCCAAGGGGAATTCCAGTGCTTCTCTCTAGGTTCAGGATTTCATCACAGGGCGCTGAGTGCGGGGAGGCTGCGTGTTCCAGTAACTGCAGTGTTTGCTTGGATCGTACTTCTTGACTTTATTTAGTCCAGTTCTGCGTTTTTTAGACTGGAAAACTCTTTTGCTTTGAAGTTCTTTCTTCTGTCACTCTTTAAACAGTTACTTGCCTAAGAATCATTTGCATTTCCTACCTTGGTGTCCATTAAAAAGAGAATTAAACCATATGCAATATTCTTAGAGATCCCTTACAGGTGTGTGGTCTGCTCCAAAAGACTGGACTAAATGCTGGATGAATTTCTTTTCCCATGTACCCCCTAAAACTACAGAATTATGAAGGCACCTATTCTCGTGAACTCCGAGATGCTGTTTATTATGCTGTAATTTAACACCACATTCATCTGCCTTGATTTCTGCTGCTTGTCCTTCACATGTTCTGCATCATCTGAGAAAGGTTATTGATGTGGGCACATTTTTAATGGCACGAATCTCTGGAGCCGTCTCCGATGTCTGAGTGATTTGAGCTTCATGTAAATAATTGATGAGAAGTGTTAGTCAGAATCTATTGGTGATTCAGACTGCATTATTCAAACATATTTACTGACAGTTATAGATTGGTCCAAATTTACTTATTTTTCTAGGCTGCATTAAACTAGGCCCTGCATGACATATGTGTCTATTTAAAAAAACAAAAAATCCTTGTTAACATATGTGAAAATCTGTGGGCTTAAGGGCTTTATTTAACCAGATGCAAATAAACGATAAGTAATTAATAATGTTTTAGCAGGAAAAAGTGAAATGGTCTCTTTTCAAGTGAAAAGGGCTTCTTTTGACTGTCTTGCATGTTATTCAGGAGTGGACCTGAACATCTTACTCGCAATTCAGTGACTTTCCTGCAGCTTTCCCTGTCCTGGTAGTTGGGGGGGTGGATGGGTGTGAGACTTCACGATTGCCTTTTTATTAGCCACGCACTGCAAGCATCTTCTCTAATGGTTTGCAGCGTTTAATCTTTGACATGTAAAAACTCTTCTGGCTTCTAACAGCATTAAAAAAAAAAAAAGTCTAGCCTAGGAGACTCTTCAGGATTGATCAGGGTGATACTGGGCATCTTGCATAATCTCCTTTTACTCTGTTTTCCCAGAGTAAAAATATTCCCAATTTCTTTTCTTTCATGTTCACTGAGGTATATAAAGCTCTGGTTGAAAGTGTTGGAGAAGTACAGTGCGGTTTTATTTTAGACTGTTGTCAGGAGGTGAATGAAGAGTGACTGAAGCAAGGCTAATAATACCAGAATGGCTTTGCAGGTCCTGCAGACTCCTTGCTCCTTCAGAAGTACTGCAGGTGCCAATCTCATGTAAGCCCTTCTGTTCCCTGGTTCCTGCAGCAGGAGATCGAGTGTGGCAGGCTGCTGCACGTACGTGTCTGTGTGTATGTGAGCTTTCACATGGTCCTTTGGAAACCACCTCTGGGAGCAATTGGGGAACTCACTGTCCATTGTAGTTTCATGTCCCTGTTGGAGAGTACTTTAACATGCTCTCGCTTTCTTGTATCAGGCAACTGAGTGTTGACATTTATTCCTCTTTTTTTAATCATGTGCAGTAAATATTCCACTGAAAATAATTCACCCCCTTTTTTTTTGTTGCCAGGATGCATTGGCATTGCAGCTGTGCATGAGTAATGAACAGGTACTTCTTCCTGACGGCTCTTTTCTATTTTTACTGCAGGAACTGTGGACATGGGTGGCAAACAGTCCACAGTCGGCGAAGTCTCCATAATTCAGACACCTGTGACAGAAAGCATTCAGGATGCTTACAAAGCTGGAGACACCAGTAAGGCCCAAGAGTTGATTAAGTTGTCATGTGAGGAGACTGCACTGCAAGTGGAAAAGGTAGGATAAGGTTACTACCCTTTCTCAAATTTTATTGGGAAAGAAACCAAAATGCCAAGCTGCTTTCTTCTGTCATTTCTCATGCAGAAAATCAGTTATGTATGTGATGCTGGTGCTGCAGGGTCCCAGACATGGCTGGTTGTGTGGGGCACTTCCAGAACATATGCTCAGGGACAGTAATTGCCCTTGAGAGCACTGATCAGAAAGATGAGACAGACCACGGGAACAGCGTGTGTAGGAACAGGAGGCTGTGCAAGGAGGGGTGCTGGTGCTGTGGTCGCTAAAACAGGGAAATAGATTTTTCCCCATATAAAGGAAGCAGTTTGCAGACTTAGCAAAAAAATGTATTCCCCTATCAGTACAAAGATGGTTAATGACCCCCTGGGAAGGTTTTGCTGCTTGTGTTTGGAACTGTATTCTCTGCGCCAGCTTCTGCACTGCTGTGCCTTCAGAGCCCTCATTTTGAGCCTGCTCTTTGCACAGAGCTTGTCTTAGTGTTTTGAAAGAGTACCTGCGTGCCAAGTCCAAGCATATTGGCCATCTCCAAAACTGGAAATACTACACCTTGTAGCAGAGCTGTGCAAATATTTTTTCTGTTGGTCCATGAAAAATGGTTTTACACTCACCATTCTGTGCCTTGGGCACTTTTGTGGTAAAACCATACAAAAAACTATAAAGCAAAAGCAACAGATTAATATAATTAGTATATCAACAGCAATGATTATAATGGCTGCTAGTGTTTATGACATTCTCAGTTAACCACAGTGACAGTGGGTATGCATTTGCATGGGCACAAATAAATACATGGCTCTAGAAGTGCTCTCTTTCTCTGCCCACTCCCTTTACAGAGAGTTTATTTTGCTGTGTTTTCTTTACCAGTGCCAGCTTTTAGGTATTGCAGCAGCATATGGAGATCTTCAGGCGGTGAGGTATTTACTGAAGGAAGCATTAGTGGTGTTACCAACAGAACCTAATGATGACAATGCAGCTGTGGTGGCTGCATATTTTGGACATAAGGACGTTGTGAAAGAGCTGCTGGATTCCTTGCATGGTAAGCCTACTGGGTTGTCTCTGCCTTTCCTCAAGCTTTTCGGTAGCTGTGTGCTATAGCTTCAAGCAGGCTTTTTTTTTTTTTTTTTTCACATCCCTTGAAAGGGGAGGGACATAGTCATGGGAAAGTGCGTGGAGGGATCTAATCTCTGCTGTGTTTGAAGAAAACTTCCCCCAAGGGGGGAAAAACTCATGCATAAAAATATTCCATGTTTGCAAATTGGAAGTGGAGGAAGATACCATTTAGACAATTCATTCCCATCAGCCCTCACAGCTGGGTAACGTCCCAGACCCCGCAGAGAAACTAAGGGATTTTCAGGAAACAGCATCATCCCACTCTGCTGATCCAGCAGACACAGCGTTGCTGGGAGTGAGAGTGCAGCATGACTGGCGAGTAATAGTTTGGGTGCACAGCGGGCAGCATGCTCTATGCTCTCTTGTCAGCGTTTTGATTTGACTTTCAGGGGAATTCCTTATTTAGAATCATCGTTATATTTTAGTTACATTTTATTTTGAAAATTATTTTATAGCAGAACAGAGAATTCTTAAGGCACGATTCTTAAGGCAGCTGTGGGGGTGGGAAAGAGCATTACTCTGAGTCAGGACCAGGAACTTGTGTTTGGGTCCCCTGTTGCTCTCTTAGTGTACTGAGGGCATAGGCAGCTGCTTTTCACCGGGATCCTCTATGGATTCAGGGTCCAGCGGTCCTGCACAGCAGCCAGGGCAAATCAGACACTGCAGTAACCGCAACAGCTAAGCTAGGGCTTTGCAATATTTGACCTGAATATAGCTGTAGCTCATCACTGGAACTATATACTTGCCAGTGACCTCAATGAGGACAAGAATAACCTGTTGGGAAACCTGCTTATTTGATGTTCTTAAACTGTTAGAGCACTAATAAGCAGAAGAAACTTTCCAGTTTGGGGCATGCAATTAAATGTAATATTTCCTTCAGCCAGAAAGGAGGCTGACAACACTGGTTTTGTAACCTAGTAGCAAAAATTAAATTATATTAATATAATACTTTCAGTAATGAAAAGTGACTTAAGTAGTTTCTGGAAACTTAGCTCAGTTTAGAACTGACCAAATTCCCTTAAACGCTTGCTTTGGGAGGTCAGGGGAGGTGCTCTATACAAACAGCAGCTTTCAGAAGTTTTTATGCAGGACTTTCCATTTGTTTCCCTGGGAAGTTACGTAGAAACAATCACAGGGCTTAGCAATAAATTGCATGAATTTGCAATTTGGCTAATGCACTGCAGTGATTCTCTCTGGCTCAGTGTGAACTTCTTGTGGCTTACAGCTGAAGTGGAGCCCATTTTTTGGAGCATGAGGGTGAGTGATTTAGTCAAGTTGTTAAGAATGCAAAGAACGATGTAATTTCCACATGGAGAAACTGCAAAAAAAGTTGACATGTAAACTTGGGCTTGTGGACATTTCTGTAAGCATGTCAAAGCGGATGTGAATTTGTAAAGTAAATGGAGGTGATACTGTGAATCAGGGAAGATTTGAGGCCTATCTTGGATGTTTGGATCTAATCTCTGTTGAATCAGACCTTTTGTCTCTGGATGCAAAGACAGTCCTGGTCATCCCTTGCCACCTCTGCTTGGGATTAGATGTTTAATTTTTCTGCTGGTAGCCTAGCAGGCATCCTCATAACCTTCCACTGTTGCTAGCTTATGCATGCTTAGATCAGGGACAGTCAAAAAAGTTCGCCCGTTAGCTGGGTAGGTAATAAAGAACAGTTAAGCAAAGCTGAAAACTTCGTGTCTGACGATCTTAGGGCTCTTCTGCAACACACTCTTGCAGTGCAGTGTGCTCCTTTGTCCTCAGGGGCTTCACCTTATCCCCTTTGCATAGCCGTTATTTGTGGATGACTCTTGCACGTCACAGCCCGGTGGCATCAGCTAAGTCAAATGCCCTATCTTTTTGGTAGGTCCTAGAACTTGCCAACAACTCCTGAACTGGATGCTGGCCATAGCCTGCCAGCAGGGACATTTGGACATAGTAAAACTCCTAATTCGTGCATACAGTGCTGACCCAGAGAACTGTGCAGTCAGGAAGAATGAGTTTCCAGTTCTTATACGGTTGCCCCTGTACGCTGCTATAAAGGCAGGTATGTATTTGCATGCTTCAAAACTTTGCCCCTTTTCTGCAATGTCTTTTAAAGAATGGGCTGAGTGGTTCCCATTTAGGAAGGTATCACTGTGGACTGGCTTGCCTGGAATTGTCCTGGATTTCCAGTGGGATAATTTAAAATAAAATTGGCCCTAAATCTTTTGACTTAGCCAAATTTAAGTCAGGGCCTTCTTAAGTTAGATTACTGTAAATAATGAGAGGCTGAACTTTCCTCTATAACCTCTTAGGGAAAAGACCCTTCAAAAATAGAAACCTTGCAAGTAAAGGCATTATTGTTATGGACACTCTGGCACACATGCTTGATTTAGGCTGAATAATTTACACTTCAAAGCACAGCTGTGTGTATAGTTTAATAAGACGGGGAAAAAAGAGAAAAAAGGGCAAGTCTGGGCCAGTGCTTTTACATAGTGTCTTTGCTGTCTCAGTTTGACCAAACTAAATCCTATCACTGGAGGAAAGTCTTTATACAGTTCAGTTCCCTTTCTGCACACCCCCATGGTTTTTTTCAGAAGTGGTTATTTCCCAAGATTTCTGTTCAGCTCCTTGTTGGCTCATTTACATGAGAAGAAGAGAGCAGACAATTTGTCTTTTCTCTAAAGGGAATGAAGATGTAGCCGTGTTTTTATTACGGAATGGAGCTTTCTTCTGTTCTTACATCCTGATGGACAGTCCTGAATCCAGCAAACACCTTCTGAGGAAATATTTCATTGAGACAAGCCCACTACCAGGTAGTGCTCCAGCAAAAACAGTAAGTAGCCATTTATCTGTCTGAAGAGACGTTCTTTTAAAGTAGCATCATGTTAATAATTGGTATTTGTCTTTGCGTACCATGAGGCTGGTGATTCTTCTTCTCAACTAAGAGCCTTGTGGTTTGCTACCCATTTAGAGAACAAGCTGTGAAAGTGGCTTTCATGCCAGTGCTGAATTGCAAGGTGTAAAACATGAGACATCATTGTGCAAGACTCTGTGTGCAGCAGCTTCCACTTGGCAATTTTAACATCAGCGTGTGAACCAGGCATATGCTGTGGAAAGGAAAGATTGACTTTGTGCTCACAGTCTTCCAGAGAAATAAGCACTACCACAGGCTTCCTCTGTGACCCCAGGATAATCACTTCATTTAGGTTTCTATTGTGCATTCTGGTTGAAGATAATGCCACAAGCTCTGTGCTGTCCTGGAGTGTTAGCACGGCACAGAGCTGAGCGTGTAAACCATTCTCTTCCCCTGTGTCTGATAGCTCAGATACAGCACGTACAAATAGGCTCAAGTGGCTTTTTGTTAACAGGGAGCATGAGTAGAGCAAGCTTACGTCTGCTCAAAATATCTTCCCTACTTCAGATCCTCATTAGTAAAAGATGGCTGGTAGCCTTTATTGTCACTCGCTTGGGACAGATCTGGCTCTCTGGAGCAGCATGGAGAATATCGTGGGTGATCAGATCAGATTAGTTTAACTGCGCTTGTCCCACAGAAATGTTTTTTGATGGGGCACAGAGGCCAACGAAAAGCAATTGAAGCCTTTTTAGGTTGGCAAGAACTCTGTTCACTACTTAGCCACTGACAGCCTTTTGACAATTTTGGTAATCCATTTGCATCTCTATTTCTTCCACTTTAAAATGGAGAGATTTAAACTCCTCTCATCTCACAGCTGTTGGAAGGCTTAATACATGATGATGATGCTTTGAGATCTACATATGAGTGGCATTGTTTTCATGCAGGGTATTATTACATTTTATGATTATCACATATCTTTGTGTAACTAGGCTATATTCTTCATTCTCTTAATCTCTATTATCCGAGTCTCCTTTATTCGGAACTGAAAAATGTCTCACGGCACACTCTTAACTGCTTTATAGGGAAGCACGTAGTATTTCGTATTATTTCTTCTGTTATCGAGCAATTTAGTTACCAGGCTTTTTTTGGTTTTCTCCTCAGTATGCAGATTAACCAACACTGAATAGGAGCATCAGAGCCTTGAGCTTTCAATAGTTACAGTTTTCATCAGATCATAAAAGTTGTGCAGTGAAAAATTGTGACGGAAACTTTTCGATCAAGGCTCTGTCTGCGTGAATCCCGTTGCCAGTTGATTATATGTTTGCTCAGCTCGTAACATTGCGGGGTGTTGATTCTGCTTTGGTATTAAGTAAAAATAAGCAGAGACTTTTCATAGTGTTACGAACTTCTCCATTCTCTGTTTTCCTGCCAAAATCCTGTCTCACTGGATTCACGATGATACTGTGAATGTTAGGGACTACAGTCCACATATGTGAGCTTGACTTCATTAGGTTCAGTTAGCAAATTTAGAACCCTCCCTTGTGGGTACTTAGTTTCATTGACAGGTAAGCAAAAGGAAGCTAAATCCTAGATGTTTCTGGGTAAGAGTTGATAAAACTACATGCCTTTTAGAAGAAAAAAAACATCCAACTAACTGGATAATTCAGCCTGAATAAACTTTGGAATAAATGTTTAAATCACAGGGAAGAGGTCTGTTTTCCATGTGAACTTGCTGGCAATATTTAACTTCGCTGCTGTAAAAATGACTCAGCTTTGCTGTTGTCACACCCTGAGCAAAGAAGAGAGCAGTTTTGAAACATCAGCTAATTGCCAGAAGGGCCTGGTTTAAAAAAAAAAGAAAAAGAAAAAACCCAAAAATCAGACCCAGAAACTTGACCTTGATTCTTCTAATAGCTGTTTATTTTTAATATGTTTGCTTATTTAATGCTTTCTCTTTGAATTTGTTTTGGCAGACTGGGCCAAATTCAGGAAGGTTTGTCCTAGTTTGTCTGCAGAGCTCAGGTCTCTGGGAAGTGATAGTCACACACCCTGATAATGTTTTAAAACACGACTTCATGGCAGCTGCAAACAAGCTGCCTCAGTGCTTTCTTCATATCTCGTGAGGTTCACAAATGTAAGTCTTCTTGTGTAAGTGCTGTGATGCATTTTGCACTGGGAGGAAGCAAAAAAGGATTGTGCGGAGACTGCGATGTGTATGGCAGCCAGCTGGATGTCAAAAAGTCTCTCCTCTTGGACAGGGCAGACTAAGCACCGATCATTTCAGAATGAGCCCAGAACTTCAAAAGGGTTTGTCCCATCTGTGCTGTCTCTGAGTGAAAACACTGCACAGTTGACCTCCAATTGATTTCACAGTAGTGGATGCTACCAGCTATGCATAAAATGTGGTTGGAGAGCTCGGTTTAGCTGCCACACCTTCCAGGCAGCCATTGCGCGGTGCATAGTGCTGCCCTTTCTGAGACAAGAGGAGTTACATCTCATTTTTCTAATATCTGTTTCTCCTTTTTTTTTTTTTCCTGGCATAAATTTATCCCCACAGCAAACCACTGTCTTGCTAAAGAGAGGAAGTGCTCCATTTTTACAGGAACAGGTAACAAATGCCAAAAAAACCCCTGCAGTGAAGTGGTGGGGCACAGATTCCAGACTTCAATACATGTAATCAGCATGGAGATACATGTAACTTTCCAGTTACAGTGTGAGATTTTTTTTTTTTCCCATTACAGATCAGAAAAGAGCTTAAACTGCTGCATTTTCCCTAGGAAATGTTTTGCCAAAAATTTTTTACACAAGCATACAAATGTATGGGTATGTGTGTGATCCTCCTCTGATTTCTTTATCCACTGCCTGGCTAATCTCAGTTGCATCACCATCGGTAAAGAAATCTGCAGCAGTTCCACTCAAGATTCACAGCAGCATTATTGATGGAGGAATTAGATCACCGTCCTCAGAATATCCCATCTACGGCAAGAGCAAGGTTCTGTCGGGGCATGTCACATCATTAGGAGAAATGCACAACAGCCTTTCTTAATCACCTTACCAAACGATCTCAAATCTAAGTAAATATTTTTGTATTTATAGTTCATCGTTTGCCCAAGAGCAGCAGGGTTTCTTGCTTCTGCACAATTTCCAGTCCCTTGCCTTCTTCAGTGCATCCCCTGACATCACTGCAGTAGAAGGTTTCCATTTAGTTTTCAGGACTCATATTGAGAAATTCTTTCCTTGGCAGGAGAGGGGAGTCTACAGAGGTTTTCCTTGCCCTTCTGAAGAGCAGTAAGCTGCCCAGAGTCAGGCTGTGCCCAGGAGCTAACAGCCTCTGAACACTGTTTCGTTTGAGCACAGAGCTCACCAGCCAGTGCCAAATGGAGAAGGGTTGAGCTGATCACTGGGCTCTGCGAGTTCAGCATCATAGACCTTTGGCATCAAAGAAACGGGCTTTTCTGGGAAGATAGTGGAGATGATTAAGTATGAGTTGGGGAGGAAATCCCTTCTCTTTGTGGCATTGCTCTCAGGCTTTCTTTCACTTAATTATGTTTTCACCGCAGAGTGGTGAGCCAAATAAATCCCTAAGGTAAGTCCACTGACATCAGGTTGCTAGCACCAAGATGAATTTGGTCCACTGTCCCTAAGTCAGATGAAGGGGCTTGGCTGATTCTCCAGTTTGCAGCACTCAGGTAGAAGAGACACTGTCAGTCCTTGGCTCTGGATGGTGAGGAGGACTGAGTGCAAGGCACTTACTGCTGAGATTCAAAAAGCTGCCTAGGAGTCTGGGACACCTACCCCGCAGCGTTCATAGCAGGTGTTGGATTTCACAATCTTGTCTGGTTTTAGAAGTCACTGTCTGAATTCTGCAGGTATCTTTCTATCACATTAAATACCCTGAGGCCATGGCTCTGCATTTTTGAGGTAAATGATACATAGCAATCTAAATGCAAAATAGAGATGAGTATCAGTCTGAAATAAGAAGCAACAGAGACGCATCGTCCTGCTTGCACCCTCTAAAAGCAGGCTGTAGATTTTATTATTACTGCATTGGTTGGGGTACTCAAGGACAAGTACTTTTTTGTACTGTAAAGAGCATCATCTTGAAACAGAGCAGGAACTGAGGGAGGGGATAAGCACCATCAGTTCTTTTTTCTGATTTTTTTTTTTTATTGCAGCTTTGTTGGGCGCATTTTAATTAAGCAGGAAGAGAAAAGAGGGAGTTCGAGTCTGCAGTGCATTTTTACTCCTGGGTCCCCTGGGAGAAGGGGAGATGTTACTGTCCCATTATATGGACTGGCAAACAGAGTCTTGGTAGCCTGAGACAGTGACTGGTGTCGCACAGGAAATCTGGGGCTCTGGAGACTGAATTCAGGATCTCAACCACAAGAGCCTGCTTTCTCCTGTGAGGAGGAAACCAAATGAGCAAGCCAGCTCTCCAAGCCTTCGTTCTCATCACTGCCAGAATTTCAAAGCCCTGTATGGTTATATGCATCCTCTGTGTGACTGAAGGACCTGTGGGTAGCCTTTTGCGTGGAATATTTGCCCAGATTTTTGGCTGTAATTCTCAATTTTCTTGCTTCTGTTTGTTTAGGTAAAATATATGAATAGTTCAAGGTACTGTGGTCATCGATGCATATCTTGGGATGCTCCATAGCACCTTTCCTACTTTAGATCAAATGCCAAAAGATGTTTAAAAAAAAGCCAGGAGAATTTTCCTTCCCTGTTTCCTTTTCGGGCCATGGTGCAGACCCTATGCATCCACAGCCATTGTGGCGATACCATTGCCAAAGGAGAAAGTGCCAGGATGCCACCACTTCCATCTCGATGTACTGTTGAAAGTTGACCTGAGCTTCTGGGGTAAATCTCCTCTGGATGACATCTTTGTTATGCGTCCTGCCCTATGCAGCCCTATGATCTTTGGTGATCATAATATACATAGGATAATAATTAACAGCTTGCGGTATCAACGCTGAGGCCACCTTTGAATGTAATGTCACTGTTTTCCTTGTTGCAGAGTGAAGAGTAACTTTAGTCTTACAACCAGCTCTTCATCCCAGACCGATCTTCACCCCACCTTGGTAGCATGGGGTCAGTAAAAAGCTGCTTCAGCCACTGCCTGAGATCTCTGTGAAGGGTGTTGCTGTTCCCCTCTGTTGGCAGATGGCAAGCTGTAAAGGGAGAAAGAGGAAAGAGCATGTCCGATCTCCACGGCTTCATTTTTGAGGTTTAGACTCCCTCTGAGCAAGGTCTTTGTGATGGTTATAGGAGATAATTGATGGGTCTGATAGACAGGCTGAGACGAATCCACCTTTCTGTAACCCTCAGTGCTGTGTTAGCAGTTCCATACCCCATATCTTGACAATGATATGGGTAAGCGGGAATTCCCTTCCTTACTAGCAGTTAATTTTTAAGACCATAGACATGTTGTCTGGAACTGTTGCCTAAAAGTGTGGATTTTCCCCTATTTATTCTGATGTAACACTTCTTCCCCCATTTTGGCTGAGTCACAGCATAACTTTTGGTCATTCCTGGAAAGAAAAGATCAGGACAGACTATGCATTGCCAGCCAAGGTTAGTTGTTAAAATGGCTGATTCTCTGTTAAAACGTTTCTTGCGTATCTAGGCAGACTGTGCTTGTATTATTCTTTCAGTAGCTGCATCTTTGTTACACCTTTCTCTTCTAGCCTGAAGAGGCCAGTCCTATTAAAAATCTACATGAAGCATGAGTAGTTGGGGATCAGGCCCTTTCTTAACTCTTTCCTAGGCCAGGGGATTTGTGGTATGTGGTTTTGCTAATGCAGAACACGTGATTTTACCCAGCGTTGTTAGGTGGGAGGGTGATGTTTTTGGTTCTGTATGAGCAGAAGTCATGGTGTAGATTTAATTGTCCTGACATAAAAAGGCTTTTGCTGGCATCACTGTAAACCACAATATGGTATAAACGCCATCAGTAAGAGAATTTCATTGCTAATTAAGCTATAATTCTATCAAGGACAATTTTAACTGATCTAGGATGGAGCTACAGTGATGCTGCCCTCCTTCTCTCCCCAGCCACGTGCTCCTCCCTCCTCTTGCATCAGTACCATTGTAAGTTGGGTTTTGGTGACCTCGGCTGGGAGCTAAACCAGCTGAAGATTCTCTCTCTAAAATAAAAAGTAATAATATTATAAGACAGGGTAGTGCCCTGAAAGTGCATCTAAGTAGCCAAACAGATATCAATAATGCTTGAGGATTTTGTTTGTAGTGTAGAGCTGGTTTCCTGCATTATCTGGATTTAGGGATCTGGCTCCTGTTACGAGCTCTTGGGGCAATTCAAGGAAACAGAAAAAAATAATGAAGTGTCTCAGCACAAATGTGCTCTCCCCCAGTGAGGTTTCCTCATGCTGGGAGGATCTTCCAGTCCCTTAGCATCAGTACCACATCCCTACATCTCTCCTGAAGTGTGGGGTAGCTAGGGATGGAAAAGGGAATCTGACCTGTGTGTGCTTGACCTCTCTATTACCATAACTCACAAGTGATTGCTGTCCAGTGATGTAAACAGCTCTTGGGCTGTTACAGGTGAGAGAAAATTACAGAAAACGACACAGAAAATTTAAAACTAGAGTTTTTAAGCAGGAAGCTGTTAAATATACAGACTTGGAAAATCTAACAGTAAAGCAGAATATGTTTAGTGCCAGTGTGAAAGCTTTGCAGTGTAACTCCCATTAGGTACTGTATATTTTGCAGCAGCAGTGGATACTCTGCTTAATTTGATTTCTTGTTGCTGCTGGCTTGCTGTGTTTTAGATGGATACCTTGTGGCACGACGGCGAGTGTAGCTTTAGACAAACAGCTTGTGCTTTCTGCCTTGGTTTTCCCAGTGATACAATGGGCATAATATTTCCATTCATACTTGCAGGGCTGTCCTGAGGCTTCACTAGTGAACATTTGAAAAGCGCTATGTTTACACTAAGTATGACTACTGTCAGTTTCTAAAAAGTGCAACCCTTTATAAAGCGCAACCCTTCTATAAAGTGCTTACCCTTTATTCCATTCTCCTAGACATTTGAACTGTGTGATCTACATTACTTGGCGTTCTGAGTCTCAAATAACCATTTGAGACAGACCTTTGTTTCCCTTTTCTTTCTCTCCCTTCCCAAAATATATTCCTTTTAATTTTAAATTTGAGGTTAAAAGTCTCAAGAGCTAAATACTGGGAATTGGAAAGCAAATTAAATTTGCTCTCGGGTCCTTGCTGCCTCCTGGTGGAAAATTGACGATCACTTTATTGAGGCTGTCTTTGGGATGAGCTATGTCAAAACCACTGAGCTTATGAAAACGTTTTGGGACTAATACTTTAAAAATGTGTATTTTGGAACATAGATCTCATTGGAATGCAATGAGATGATCTTGAAAATGAAGCCTTAGGTTGTTTACTTGCATTGATGACCGTTATGTGTTCATGTTTTCTTCTAAGTTGGAGCCTGAAGTAAGTAGTTATGCCTTTCACAACAACTTCTGGTTTTTTTCCAAAAGAGGATAAAACGTCTTCCTCGTCTTACTGTCAAAAGCAGCAGAACATTATCTAGAAAGGAGGCAACTGCCAAAATCATGTGTCTCAGATGCTAAAATGTCTTCCTAAATGATGCTGAGCAAATTTCTAGGGTTTAGAAACGCTTTACAAGAGGGCATTTGCCTTTCCTTGCCTTTCGCAGATGTTCCTTTGCAAAACCTAAAACTTCCCCAGAACGATTTGGCTGGTTGTTGTTGGAAGGTTTAAGATGGAAGAGCAGTGCCTGGGCATATATTAATTATGCCAGCAACAGGCCTCCTCGTAAGAAGTCATTACTACACTCAGCAGATCTGTCCCTGTCCTCTCTACAGATGCACAAGCAATGATCCTCAAGCGTTTCAGAGGCAGACTGCTCCACAGAGGTTCCTCTGGACCTGCCTGCCTCTGTTGGTGTTCAGAGTCCCTTGGAGATCTGAGCAGCGATGCAGACCATGTCCAAGAGACAGACTGGGGTTCGGGCTGCGGAGTCTGGATTTCAGATGAGGTTCCATGATCTGTCCGTATCATGCTGCTAGCATAGGGTGTGAATGTGTCTTGTGGGACAGGGAGCCCAGCCCCATGGAAACTCACTGCACATTGTTGGATGAACAAACCGTTAGAGTCTGTCCAGCTCTCGGATGGGGTGCTGGTTTCAGGCAAGGGCAGCTCACCCTTTGTGGGGCACACCGGAGCTGGTTTATAGACAGGCAAAGAAGTCCAAGTCCCCTTCCTGCACTTGCTCATGGTCTTTGGAGTGCGATCAAGGAGCAGCTATATGGTGGGGAGTGCTGATATCCAGGCATGATTCCACCTCTGAGTCAGTTTAATTCCTAGAAGCAGATTGGAAAGTGAGCAAAATGTTTATGGTCTGTGCTCTGACCTGCCAGATTCTCAGTGGTGTAACACAGGCTGAGAGCAATTGGGGTTTTACTAACATGGTTTTCTCTTCTTTCTTTGACATATGCAGGCTTTGTGTGTGAACTGGTCAAACCTCAAACTGCCCTGGGTGGATCTGGACTGGCTGATTGATATCTCCTGTCAGATAACTGAGCTTGATCTCTCTGCCAACTGCCTGGTCTCCCTTCCATCCGTGATCCCATGGGGCCTGATAAACCTCAGGAAGCTCAGCCTGGCTGACAATCAGCTGACGGAGTTACCCAGCGTACAGTCATCCGATGAAATTATATGTACAAGGTGTGTGCGCTGGATGCCTACAGCAAACTGAACCCGAACGGAGAGCAGGTGCAAATGAGTCAGTTGTGCTTGAGTGAAACTGCGTAAGGGAAAGCATATGCAGGAGCTTCATGGTTTATTTTCTGTCTGCTGTAAGGTTTAACTTAAGATTTGCTCTTTTGCATTCTCGGTGTTTCCAAGCTAGTTGTCAGGACAATTGTAGGGACTTTTATTCCTGTATAGTCTCATCTTGTTTCTGCTTTTCTCCAGTTCTGGTGAGCCCCATTCCTCTAAGTCTAAGCCCTGGGCTGACTCAGATTGACATTTGCTGGCTCATATCAATTATCTGATCTGCTGTCTATCCAGACCACTTCTGTCTGCTCCCTGGAAGGGTTAATTTTCTAAATAGGGTTTTTTGCTTTGCCTTGTGAGAGTGCATTCCAGCGGCTTTCATTCAGACTTAAAGCTGTCCTGGCAAAATAGATGTCTATGGCAACAGGAGTCTTTGCTAGCATTTTATGGATGCCTGACTGGGTATCTTCTGTGCTTACAGGTTACTCGAGGTCGACGTATCCAGCAACAGGCTCTCTACTCTCCCTTCTGGATTCCTACATCTTAAAAACCTTAAAAAACTCATTGCTGCTAAAAATTATATGGAGAAGTTATTTGACGAGGAAAACAGTACGTACAGTCCAGTGTTACGCTTACATTTCAAGGCCTGATTTGTGAAGGTAGAACCCCAAACTTTATTAAGTCATTATAATAATGACTTAAAGCCAGTATTAGCTAGAGATGCTTAGTATCTCTCAATCCTGTGTTCAAAGTACATGAAAAGGCCTGGTTATTTTTTACCACTCGTTAAATCCTTCGGCTCTTATCTAACAAGTATTCAGCATCTTACTGGATCAGACTGATATTATGCTTACACCTAGTCCACAATGTTCCGTGTTTTCTAGCAACTAATTGGATTGGCTTAAGGAAGCTGCAGGAGTTTGACGTCTCTGACAACAGGTTGGTGGAACTTCCAACGGTTTTTCTATACTGCTTCAAGTCCCTAAACATACTGAATGTTTCCAGAAATCAGCTGAAAGTGTTTCCAGATCCCTGGGCCTGCCCCTTGGTAAGTCGAACTGCTCTGACAGAGTCAGAGGCTGAAAAAGCTGTTGAAACAATGCAAAAAATATACTGTGGTGCTTAAAAAGCTGTCAGACGACGTAGGCTAAAAGGCTCTTCTGTTTCTGTACGAGTGCCCCTGCCTGATTCGGTTTATGGGTCTCAGATCAAGTCTTTCTGAGGTTCTACCCTGTTCTCACCATGCTGATGGCATTGGTGGAAAACTTCTAGAAACATGTCTTATATGGATGTGTTCATTTTCTCTATAGTTCATATGAGCAGAAGTATTGTTAGGATCATTTTACAGAACACTTAGCCTTCATTCAACGTTAACTTTGCCCAAACCCATGGCTAACTAGGGCATCTATATCCACCCATCACTGTGGCTTTATTCCTCATTATTACAGGGATAGCAGGAGAACAGTATACTTCGGTGAAGTGTTTGTTTATGGTTGAAAAGCAAATGGGGATAATTTTCAAAATAACTTTTGAAATACTTTTTGCCCACCAAAGAATTTGCCCACCAATTAAGTGAGTGCAAAGTCCTCAGCAAATCCTGTGTGCCTGCATGCACAATAATTTATCTAGATCAAAATATCCAAAGAGATCACCTAGAATGAATTTATTAATGCCTTAAACATGTGACAGCTGATCTACCTCATTATTTAAAGAGATGATTACTACTCTTTGGGTGTTTTTTCTTTTATGTTTTCCAGAAATGTTGTAAAGCATCTAGAAACTCACTGGAATACCTACCTGATGCATTGACTATTTTCTGGAAAAATCACCTCAGAGAAGTGGATTTTTCTGAGAACTCACTAAAAGAAGTTCCACCGGGACTCTTCCAGCTTGAAGTAAGTGTCATTTCTTCCTACTTCACAGTATTTCTCTTCATACCTGCTCAGACTTTGAAGTCATAGCAGTGGTTGCCTGGTTAAGGTAGGAGACTACCTGCTATTTTGAGCTGATGAACACAGCAATTATACAGAGCCTCTGAGCAGCCTGTAACCTCCTGAAGGTTCAGGCCCTCGTCCAGTGTGATATGGTATCTAACTTTTGACACAGGTCTTCTGAGAACTCTTTGGATGTCTGTGGTTTTCAGATTTTGGGAGCACCATTTGGAAGACAACCACGGCATTGTAGCTGCAAGCTCCAACCATTGAAATATAGATGTACTCAAGTGTGCTCGCAAATAGTTGTGTTTTTTCTTAATCTGGCACACCAGTGTTGTGTAATTAAGGATTAGTCTTTCTGTGCTGAAAATAGCATGTTTGAATGCCATAAACAATGCTAGTTGGCATCTCTCTTATCTTTAAGCTTATGCAGATTAAATAATTCTTGCCAGTGGACATCAGAGATCCATAGTTTTACTTCAGAATTCTTCAGAATTTGTGGCTTCGCATGGTTTCGACATGAAACGAAGCAGAACTTGGGGGTTTCCTCCAAGCTTCCCTTCCAGATTGTGAAACTCAGGGTCATGGAGATAGAAACAGAGGTAAATTGTTGTGCAGAAGTTTCATGATTTTCACCACTGGCCTGTGTGGGAAGGATGCAGAAGTGATGGTTCATATCCATGTCCAATTTGAACCTCGGGAGTCTACTGCAAATGTGCCGCTTGCTCCTGCCTGGGAGAAGAGTGCTGAGGGTTGTTTGCTCCCTCAGTTGTTTTTAATGATCCCTGCAGATTTGGCTTTGCTTTCTGGTAACCATTTGTTTTCAATTGGCATTTTTCCTGAAATAGAATGAATCCTATGGACTATTGTCTCCAAAACTTGTTTTTTCTGAATGCATTAAAAATAAGCCCAGTGGGTGGGAGCTACCATGACAGATACTAAACACTAGATGGTGCTTCAAGGGCACATTTCTTTGGGTGCTGCTGCTCGGGGGCTGCAGAAGGATGTGAAGGACCAGTACAGGGCATCAGAGAAGACCTCAATCCAATCTCTGCTGATGGTCTGTCTTCAAAGTTAGCGAGCTTTGGCTGCCTTAAATAATGCCAGTTCTTATTCATATCTCTTCAGCCTTACCTTCATAAAAGAAATAAATAGCAGGTATTTTCAGTCCTCCAAGGGCTAGAGTGTAGTGAGCCACTAGAAGGTGAAAGCGCATGCCTGGATCAGCCCTGGCTTGGGCTACTCCTTGGCTGTAGAGTTTGTGTCGGCGAACACGGCTGCACTAGTGCTCCAGCGCTCTCCAGAAGTAGATGTGGAAAGGGGGAAAAATGGGCAGTAACGTGTTCCCACATGTAATGTAGGAAGCATTATATGTTCCCACATTATTATGTAGGAACAGCAGTGAACTGTCTTCTCCCTGGGAAAAGCTGAAAGCTGAGGAGGCCTGTGACTTGAAAGCATGTCTCTGACCCAGGGTGGTGGGACATGTAGTTTATCACTGGCCTTTGCTTGGTTTGTGGAGGGGTCTTAAGACTAGGACCACCTCACAGTTGCTAATATGATGTATATACTAGAAACGTGGTGTTAAGAGAAGCAGAGGCCTTCTAAAGGAACCAACTGTACATGCTCCAAGCCATGTCTTAGTTCTCTAGACTAGTTTGCTTCTCTTGAAGAGACCTGACCCTCTCTGGGTGGAAGTATTCAGGTGAGACTCTGGTCAGCTTTTCCACATCACGAGCTGACTGAGGCAGCCTAATCTGGATGCTGCAGTTCCTTCCCTCTGGTATAATCTAATGCACCAGAGCCCTTTCTGCATGCTGCGGCAGTAGGTTTGAAAGAAGTTGTCTGCTGCTGCCATTGTCTCACTTCTGGAGGCAGCAAAAATGGAGAGGTTAGAGATGAGAAAGAAGAGGCAATTGCAAAACAAGGGCTGGTGATCTCCAGAATTACAGTCAGGAAGAGCCACAGCCAGTTGAAAGTCACTAATTTTCCCCCTACAGAGCAGGCACATAAGCATTGCATACAATCTCACCAGGCTCTTGGCTCTCCTGGAGAGTGGCCTTTGTCAGCGTTTGTGGGGAACATGTAACATGGATACAGTTGACTGAAAATGAAGCACCCCAGCTAGACCACACAGAACAAAGTTTGTGCTAATTCTGGAACGTGTAGCCTCCCTTTCCTCACACCCCACGCTCAGGGATATTTCGGGGGAGAAGTTTGAAGCATTGTCATTGAACAGCCCCATGCTGATACTTGGAGAGCGCTCGACACCAGGCGCCAAGGGAGGACTGGGTCTTCCTTCCAGCGGGAGGTTTGAGCCAGTGGAAGACTAATGATGGTAAAAGCATTGGCTGTCAAGACTCCAGTGGCAGGGAGGGTTTTATAGTTTGCACGGTTTTCCAACCCTTTCCTCTAGCGGTTCCCTCTGCGTATCTGCAGTTGTTATATTTTACTTTACCTTCCCCAAGTCCCACCAAGGCCCAGCGCTGCCCCTCTCTTATCACTAGAGGGAGCGTTTTGCATGATAATTGCCATTCCAGCAACTGCTGGTTGTCCATCGCTTATGTCACATGATGCCTCATATTTTTCCAATCTGAGAAAAGGGGAGGAAGGCCAACAGACTGGCTTCGTGAGACATTGTTAGTCCTGCTTGATGAAAAGGGGCATAAACCTTTTATATTACATGGAGCACATAGAACATGTAACACACTTGAAGCTGAAGTCTCTGCTGGTAAAACATGATTTCCATGGGGTATAATTCATTAATACTGCTGTACCTGTGGCACAAGATAATTTAGCTGACATTCTGCTTATCTCAGTTTTCATGGGAGAGACTTGCAGAATAAACCTGGTTGGAGACTCTACATAGAAGACTGTTTTTCAATGGAAAATTGGATTTTCCAAATGAAAATGATCATTTCAGCCTTGACATTATTTTTAAGGGCAGATGGAAAAGCATAAACTCCACAAAACTGAGTAGGAACTGCATTTTTTTCGTTTATATTTCGGTTAAATTTAAAGGAGAGCTTGTGTTTAACCTTATTCATGGTATTTGCAGCTGAGTCCTATCTGTATGGTGTTAACTGTACAAAGCTTCACTTCTTGTTTTTAAAATTTCCGTCTCTGGTGGGAGGAAAAAAAAAGTTGATAGGTAACTTGTATAAATGTTGGAAAGTTAATATAAATCCTTTCCATTTTAATAGACATGTAGTAACAGAGCAATTAAAAATTTTCCTTGTGTGAAATAGTTCACATTTTGCACGTTGATCTCACACACATACAACAGGTGTAAGCCCACTCTGACACTAGCTTGCACACACATATAAGACTTCTCATCCTTATGTGGCATCCTGTGTAGGTAAATTATACTGCTCTTTTCCATTTGGAAAGGTTTTCTCACTAAAAGTAAAATGTCCTTTTATACGGGTTGTTTCCAGTTGAATCTGTCAGCAAGTAGACTAATGATCTCCCAGAACTAATGGTGGTGTTGCTTCACGCAGGAAATATACTTGCTGGAGACAAAAAGGAAATGTTCGCATGCTAGGCAGCATGTTCTGATGAATAAGATGTACCTTCTTCATGTTTCTGTTACTTATAGCCATGCTAAGAAAACTCTTTCTGTGCGTTTGATGGACTCTGTCTTCTAACTCTAGGCTATTCCTCTTTTAGGCTTTGGTGTCCCTGAAGCTACTGGGAAATCAGATAATTACATTGCCTTCACAAGATAAGTGGAATTGCAAACAACTTAGATCACTGGATCTTTCAAAAAACCAACTTGGGAAGTAAGTGTTTCTTTCAAATTTTGTCTGAGAAAACAAAAGCTGAAGAAATAATAGCAAACCCGATCCCTCGTGTAATACAAAGGGTGTTAGTGGTGAATTAATTACCTGCCTGCATAGAAGGCATTGATATCCACATACCACGTCTCTAAGTATATTGTGTGTCTGTGACAGTGATGAATTATCCTTTACTCATTCTTTGGGCGTTTAGCACACTATATCATTTATTAAGTGGATAGATTACTGATAATGGCAGTTTAATTTCAGAGCGTGTAGAAATCTCTTTAACCCAGTGTGTGGTTCATCACTACAAATACTAGTTTGTGGGGAGCATATCTTAACCATAAACCATCTGGCTGGACTGCAGTTGTAGTTAGCGTGAGAGTATTGTTTTGGAAAAAATCAAAAATCTTTGTTTTTTAAATGGAAGTGTAACCGGCTGCAAGTTCATGGAGAAGACTGACGTTAATAAGGTCATCCAATAAAAGAAGGATGTTCTTCTATTTAGAAATTACAATAGGGATGTTTAACGTAGAGAGTTAAGGTCCCTTATCTTCTCCAGAACTGCATTGAATTGTGTCATCCTTCTATCTTCTCATTTGAGTGCCTGTCCAGCAAATTTTCTAGAGTCCTTATGAGTTGCTGTGTCAGTTGCAAAAGACAAATTATTGGTTTTTCAATGTCTCAGTGCATTTCCAGAGTCATTTTTTTGGGTCATCTTGTCAGAGACTCTCTGGTGAAAGCAGGGAATGGCAACAGGTTGGTTCTCCAGCGCTTCTCGTGAAGCTTGTTCAATTTGCTGTTTGACAGCCTACTTAACCTTGACACCCATAAAGCCGGGGGTCAAGTGTTCTCACCCTGGGAACTGAAAGCGCTGCCTTGCAGAGCTCTGTTAATTTGCCAGAAGAAAACCATTGGGCCTGGACAAGTGTTGGTGGAGTATAGCTCTGTGATTGCACAGCAGGTTTCAATCCCATCTCTCAAAAGCAGACGGGAACCCGTTAGAGCTGTGCTGTGAATCGCGCAGTCTTGAGTGGGGCCACACTGCACCGTGTAGTGTTCTGGGCGTGCAGCTCCAGCACGGTTCTCAACTGCCGTGTCCAAGCTCTTTTCTCCACATCTCACCATTTTGTTTTGCCCACAGGAGTGACGAGGGATTTAAAACAAAGCGGATTCCCTTTTTCACCACGAAGAGCAGGGTGCGCTGTGGCCCCGAGGCAGGTAAGGTACACGGCAGTGCAAATGTGGGGAAGCAAGTGCTGAGAGTGCCAGGTG